AATGAAAATGTCCCTAAACAGTTCAAAATAAATCAAAATATTTTGAAAATGTTATCGTGTATAGAAAATGCAAATATAAACAACCAGTAAAAATTTCATGTATATACGTTCATATGTTTTAGAGTTACACCAAAAACCAAAATCGATTTTTTGGAAAACCAATTTTGCGTAAAAATTCCCGTTTTTCCTTAATTTTTATGTTGTTTTTCCCGGCGCTTGTGAAAACTACTGAGCAATTTATACTTTTGACCCCCCAAAGTACCAACTAGATTCACTTTCCTATCAGAAAAGCTACTGATGAAGAAAATCCAAGCACTTTTACCAGTGGCGGTTTTTTGAATTTTTTCTGGGGGGGGTCCTTTAATATTATCTTATAATGTATAAAGACAAAAAATTTAAAACCATGAATAATTACTAAATAAAATTTAATTCTTACATAAAAAAAAAACAGCATTTTAGTTACAACTACCTATTATAACACAAAATCAATTTTTCTTTTTTTTTTTACTAATTCGTCCAAAACTTCGTCAGCCGTTAATTGTAAATCCTTATGTATACACATCATAGCCAGACCATTTAATCTTTTCTGAAATATTTAATAAGCAAATTATATTTAATATTGTAAAATATGAATTATGATTTCCTTTATTACTTACTTCTCCAATGGTGTTCCTCAAATAAGTTTTTATTCTTTTAAGATTTGAAAAAGTACGTTCATTAGATGATGTTGAAACTGATAATGTGGCTAGTATTTGAAGAAGTTTGTATATATTAGGATAAATTTCATTATTACAAAACGATAAAGCTTGGAGTGCATTAGTTGGCTCTTCGCTCAAATTTTTTAAGCACCTTTGCCACAATTTGTATTCAGCCATCAAAATCGCATGGTTTCCATTTTCCAGAACATCTTGGTAATATTTAACCAATGTCATAAAGTCGTCATCTAATTCTTCTTTCGAAAATAAAGAATGAAAAGAGTTTAATGTAGTTTCGTGATCAATAAATCTTTCTTTTAGTTCATTAGCAAATGACTCCAGATATGGTATAAATACAGATACACGATAATATTCCTCTGCCGATGTTGTATTTATATTAACTCTTAGGGTCTGTCTATTTAATGTTCTTGGAACCTTATATTTATAATTTTAAATTATTATAACTCGATCGTGGCTTTAATTGAATTTTAATTTTTTCATTTAAAAATATACCCATACGTTTTACAACTGAAAGTGTAAGCAACGCTTACACTGCTTATATTCACGCCACGCCACTGCTACACAGCACAAGCACACGCTTTGACAATATACATAATATTATACTACTGTCTATACTCTATTGCTACTTGCTAGCGTAAGTTAAATGAAAAAAAAACCATATTATAATTTATTAATTATAATTATTGACATAAATTTAATATTCAAATTTTAAAAAACATGTTGAAATTTGAAAATAATTATTATTAAGAAAAATTAAAAATTACATTCACGATACAAAATCATTTACTTAGATTACATTTTAAATTAACTACATATTATTATTATGAGTCAAATTATATGGATAAAATCTTTGTAAATTAAGAATGAAAACGATTTAAAATAATTATTATAAATTTTACTAACCTGAATAGACGTTCGGGTTCGACAGGCCCGACGGCTTAAGGAAAAGTGATGGTCAGTTTATCAACTATCGCTGCGCTAGGTAATGTACCTACGTTCTTCGAATGGCCGAACGCTATTATTATTACAAATAATAGATATCGTAATCGTAACGTCATAATTTCAGGGAAAATATGGTATTTATCTAAATAGCTGTAGATAACATTCTAATATACAAAATAATAAAGATGAAATCACCAGAATTATGTAGGTACAAACGTACCTATATCCGCATATAAAAATCGTAATCGTAATAGCTATACAAAAAAAAATTACTGTCAAAACCCAAGCGGCTCGAGTGAATAATGTATCACAGCTTAAACTCGGGATCTGGGGGGGGGGGTCAGACCCCCTGGACCCCCCCCCCGTAAAACCGCCACTGACTTTTACTGTCCTAAAACGTGATGACAGACACAAAAAAAAATATAAAAAAAAAACACACATCATTGTAAAACCAATACATTCATCGCTCCGCTCAGAATCTAAAACTTACGTATAACATTTTTAATATTTTTGATTAATAATTTTTTTTTGACATTGGAATGGAAGGTAACTTTTTTATAATTACACAATTGTATTTTAGATTCTGAGCGTAGAGATGAGTGTATAGATTTTACAATGATGTGTGTTTTTTGTGTGTGTACGCACGATAGTCAATAAGTAGTCGAAATAATGCTTCGGTTTTAAACTTAAGTATCTATTGTTCGATGGAAAAGTAAATCTAGTTGGTGCATTAGGGAAGTCAAAATCCCATAATCCCAGTAGTTTCCAAAAGCACCATGAAAAACAAAAATAATTGATTTTGTTCTTTGGTGTAACTCTAAAAAAAAAAATGATACATACAATTTTCACTAGTGTTGTTGTATTAGCATTTTCTATTTACGATAACATTTTGAAAATATGTCTACTGTTTACGAGTATTTTCAGTTTCAATTTTTTTTAGTTTTTTTTTGTATGAAAGTCAACACAACAAAACTGTATTTGTTGGGTAAAGAGATTGAAAATTTAATACAATGATATTTGAAAAGTATTAAAAATACATAGTCACAATTTTTTTAAAAACATTCAGTTCAAACACTTCAGCAGTTCAAATCTTGACAAAACACGTAAAAATTACGATAATGTGCAAATTATTTTGTGTTAGAAATTATAAAAATTTTTATTTTTAAATTTAAGAATTGAAAATGTAGTACAAGATTCCTCATAAGTTTGTCTATCCTTATCAAAAAAAAAAAAAAATTTACACAAGAAACTCAAATTAAATTTTTGTGAGCGTTTGAAGTTCATATTTTTATAAGATTCGATATTCACTCGATTACTCATGTAACGATTTTCTTATTTTGTTATTGTAATTAAAAAACGAAACTAGAAAATACTAGACGTAGATACTTGAAAATTTCACTGAATGTTCATATTATAGCATTTCCTATACACTATATAATTTTGAAAATAGTTTAAACTCTTTTTGAGCAGTTTACGGATATTTTCAATTTTCAATTTTTTTAGTATTTTTTTCTATAAATACCAATAAAATTGTATTTGTTGTTTAAAAAAGCGTGACAATTTAATGCAAAGCTCCTGATATATTGTTACAAATTTACAATAGTGAAAAATTTTAAAAATACATAGTCACAATTTTTTTTATAAGTATTTAAAGTTCAAATTTTGATAAAATTTATCAAATTTAAAATTTAATAATAATTTTGAAGTTAACAATTTATAAAATGTTCAACTTTTATAGCTTAGGATTGAAAATTTAAAACAAGATTAAACGTAAATAGGTTATGTATAAATTATTTTATTCCCCTCAACATCATCTAAAATACTTCGTAATATCATTAGTGATTAGTTGATTAACCGTTTTCGATCAAAAAAAGGTTAATCGTGGCAGATGGTCTTATGTATGTTATTGGTGGAGAAGGAGAAAAACACAGAAATCTTAATATTTTGAACCCGTAACCCCTGGATAATCATTATCATCAAGTACCACTGCACCCATAGATATAATATGTTTATTATATCTATGACTGCACCACGACCGCGCCGTACCAACTTTAAAATTGTTCACCTTAGTATCATTATTATTGTTGTTATTGTTTGATTCATTGGTTTCATTTGCATTTTCTTGACGTGTACACACTGATTCTTATCAGGTACTATTTTGCTTATATATCTTACGTGAATTAATTCGTGAATTAATTCGTGATTCGTGCTTACAACCATGAACTACTACACAGGACTGGACAGGACTGGCCGGACTGGACACTACAAAGAAAATCACGGACACAAAGTTGTACAAGGTTCGTACACATGCGATTTAACTGCACTCTGCCTGTTAGTAGTACGAACTACGTTTTTTATAGGATAACACTAAAGACTAGTGATATTAGTGATAATAAATAATAATTAATAGTAAATGCCGTGGTGCTAATGCTAAATAGTAAGTTTAATAATGATTTAATAGCTGTCAGTTTTTGACGTTTCTGTAGGTATATAAAAAAAATATTTGTACATTTGTTACGTTTATCTTATGTTTTTACCAACTTCGACAATTTCTTCTTTTTGCAGCTTACTTTGATCTGTTTTTGATTTGTCATTTGTGAATATTGTCTCATTCTCATGGTTAAGTAGTAAGTAATAATATATGTCAATATTTCACTTTTGTGGGACTCGCAAGGAAAAGTCAATAGATTTGTTTTGTGTTCTAGGAAATAATCTACTGAATCTCTGAACAGTTTAAGCATGAACTACTAAGGCGGTATTTTATATAACAATATATTTCTTATCTCACAGATGGCGCTGTGTCGCATGTGTACCGAATATGTACAACCATAGACATATTAACTAAGTTAATATGTCTATGTGTACAACTTTCAACTTTGTGGACGACCCCCTACTCTCCTCCTGCCATAGTGTCCAGTCCTGTGTAGTACCACAGAACAATAGTAACAATGGTAGTACTGTAGTAGTTCATGCTTACAACACTGTTGTTGTTATCATGACAAAATAGATGTATATATATTTTGTCATGGTATTTATACAATATTTTCATATTATAGTAAGAGACCGATCTCCCAAAATTTGATTTTTGTGATATCTCGCTGTTATCAAAATCGGGAAATCTGTCCCTGCCCCATTATAGCATTCAGCATTTCAGCGGCATTGTGAAAATATAATATGATATATTAATTATTGATAAATAGTAAATAATGCCAAACATTTTTACAGTTAACTAATATTTCATCAGTAACAAAAGTTGTTTTTACGAGGGTTTTTATATTTCAGAGCAATTTTCGGTTAAATTCAAAACCGGTTCACTATTGTTAGAACAGAACTAAGTTAATTATGTCTCCAAAGTAAGTATAACACATCATACATTATGTACCTATGAAGTGTATTTATTTGTATAACCATCGGCAATGGCGTACGCAGGGATAGGGTTCTAGGGTTCTGACCACCCCCCCTGAAATGTCTTCCTTTAACAAAAAAACTTTTCCATCACAATTTCAATACAGATTCCATAAATTGTTGGTCATTTTTAATAGATATAAAATAAATTGTTAAATATGACCAAGATATCGATAATCGTAGTTTCAGTTTTAAAACTAGTCCAAAACATTGCTAAACGTCTGCCATAACCGTCATATGGCGTATCATCATGTATCATCGTCCATAGATTATTACCATGTTTATTACCATTGCTCTATAGATGACCAGGTGTCCGGGTTGAACACTCGAGTGTTCTAAAAGTAGACTAAATTTGAGACTAACTATAATATTTTGTTATAACCAATTATATAAAAACTGTATATAAAAAAGTAATGTAAATTATTTACTCAGGTGAAACTCTAACCGAACTAAAATCCTGCTTACGCTACTGACCATCGGAAAACATTTGGTTGAATCTTTTATTGTTTTTTTTTTGGACTGAGACTTGCATTGTCTAAAGTAAAGTGTCACCCGCATGCTCACACCCCATATTTATTTAGAATTGGGGAGGGATATTGGAATGTATGCTTGATTTGGCCCCCTAAAACTCCCCAGTGATTAATGCCAATGTGTGTAAAGTACACCAATATTCATGTACAGTGTACACCAATTGTCATCTTAAAGTTTATATCCATAATCAATGTTGAACAGTTAAAAATCTATATTGGCGTGATTAAATTGTATTTGTTTGTATTGCAGAAAACGACGTGGAGGGTCAAGAGGTCGTGGTAGAGGTATAGCAAAAAGAAGAGGTCCAAAACCACGTCAACCTATGTCACCAGACACTGCCACTGCAGATGATACCGATGCTGAGGGTACATCCACAGATGGTAATATGTCTTTCAAACAGGTTATGTCACCACCACAATCACCATCCAGGAAAAAACATGCTGACTACAACGAAGAAAGAGAGCTGTCGTTACCTCGACTAAAATCTATTGTCATTCCAGAAAATTCTACCATCCTGTCACGTAAAAACAAAATTAGGGGATTTTTGTTATGCTTATTGGTATCTTATAAATACTTTTGTTGTTTTAGTGCTGAGCCGTGATATCAAATCTGACTATATAATGACGGATGATGAATTGGACCATGTTCAATGGGATCTTGAAGCAATGTTAACTAATGTTATCTTACGCAGAAATACAATAAGAGACGAACTAAGCACTTTTGCATCCATGCAGTTTGCTCGTTCCCTACATAGGATGGCTAAGAACCCCAAACTTCCTACAATTGTAAGTCTATGTGCTATAAAAATTATATTAATTATTTATTATTATTGCCTAAATCATCATCCCTAATTTTTATTTTTATTTTATTTTCATTATTTATTAAGAATAGACTTTTGCGCAGAATGTTTGAGCATCATTTAAAGTATGCAATGTTTAATATTAAAATTATTGAAAATTAAAATATATAAAATAATTTTTTGGTGTACGTGTAAATAAAAACTAAAGCACCACATGAAATTGGGGGTGTTCAACGTGGGTTCATTGAAAACTTTAAACGCTGCTGCGTCGTTTGTGCTTTGAAACTCTCAGACTACAACCGTGATGTCACGGAAAAAGGTGTTATGTCGCTTATTCTATGGAGGTAGTGCAGTGAAAGCGTGAACTCTATTTCCCGAAGTGAACACTCAAATGTAAAATTATAAGACATAACACGATTATTAACTCACAATAATTGGATAAAAAACTTAACAAATGCAAAAATAAATAAAACCTCTGATAACCAGCTTAGTGATAAATTACTACGTTTATATGATGGCGTTAAAACGGTTTAAAACTAAACCGTTTTGAAAGTTAAAACGCTCGCGCTATGTAGTTTAAGAACTTAAAACCGTTTTATTTGCATAAACCGGTTTATCAAATGTATATATACAAATTTAAGCAAATAAAACGGTTTTAAGTTCTTAAACTACATAGCGCGAGCGTTTTAACTTTCAAAACAGTTTAGTTTTAACGCCATCATATAAACGTAATAACTGATAACGCCATCAATATTTGCGTTTGTCTAGAGGCCTACCTGTGAGTGCTTGTGTCTCAACAAACCGTTCAAAACGTATACAATGAGCGTTAGCATTGAAAGTAAAAAAGCACCTGTGTCAAACCTACCCATTGAGATGCCAATAGCTGAAATGCATTTCTAGGTGTCAGAAGAAAATTGAAGGTATTATTCTATTTTTTAAATTTTAAATTTTTGCAGAGACCAAGAGCAGCTGCAGAAATATCACCCGTGAATGAATGTCGTAAGATGAAGGTTGAATTTGATCCTACTAGCAAAGTAATTATATTGTATTTCTTATTTTAATATCTATACTCTATTTTTGATAAGTATAAACTACTCAAGATGACAAAAACTGTCTTTACTTAGACCAGTGGTACGCAACCTTTTTTGATTCACGACCCCCAAAATTATTTATTTTGATAATACCCGTCCTCCCTTCCTCCCATCGTTATGTAAGTGTTTAATATATTATATTTATTTAATAGTCTTAATGTATACAAACATTTTATTCATATAAATTAAATCTTTAATTTTAGTTAATTTTAATATTTCTTTAATTTAATTAAACCAAAACATAAAAAAAATACAAAATTAGAGTTTTATAAAACCTAAAATTAAAAAAATTACTGAAATTATTATAATGATGATCAACATTTTAGTATTTTTAAAATCATAAAATTACTATTTAATTATTTTAATGAGAGACCTGAACTTGCATTTTAGACATGATTGATTCTATGTTTGGTTTGATATTTGACACTGCTACTCGTAAATCAACATTTAATCTGGAGCGATATTTGTTTTTAATTATTGCTAGTGTTGAAAATGCTGTTTCGCATAGATTAGTTGATGCAAACAATTTTTTGGAAGCTAAAGCTTCTCTGTGAATCATACAATGGTTAAACATTATATTTGAAGACACTTCTTGAACTTTAACTTTAAAACTTATTTTTGAACCAGTAAGTGCAGCTGCACCGTCAGTGCATATTGACACACAGGTTGATCAGGGAATCACATTAATTTCTAAAAAATTGTTTATGAGAACAAAAATATCATTTAATTTTTTCTTCAATTTTATCTTAATAAATATTTTTTCAAATAATTATTTCATCTAAGTGCATTGCAAAATAATTCTATTATTTTAAATAATCTATTTAGGAGTTGTTGTGACTTTATGTTATCAGACATAATTTCAATTTCATGTGACACAGTTTCTCTTGATAAGGGAATTGTTTTTATACGATATTAAAAATATTAGTTTAAAATAATACAAAATACAAATAATTATTACAAAATATACAAAATTATAAGCATTAATAGGATTAACTCAACGGCTCGTACACGACTATTAGACCATTTTATAATAACCGTGAGATTAAATTAAATTTAAAAAAAAACCCTGCTTGTTTAAATAGAACTTGTTATCGCAACATTAAGATATGACATAATATTACGATTGACATAGATATCGACGGTACAAAATAATTTTACTTTCTATGAGACTATAAAATAATATACATAATATATTACTTTTTCATTTGATGTAAAATTATTGGCGATCCCCTAATAAAATTGTACGACCCTCAGGTTGCGCACCACTGACTTAGACACACATCCCCCACCTCTAAATTGACTTGCACCCCAATAATTATTGTAGGCTGATGTGATACGTCAGCTATGCAAAAAGATTACATCCAATTATAGAGTGCCTACATGGTGTGACAGCTCAATCTGCATGCATGTGTGGTGTGGTTCACTACTAATATTCTGAATAGAGTATATACTATCATTATATACTAACCTAACCTAACCTATCCATATAATGATACTTATGTAGTTATGTATAAAACACGTAAATAATATTAAATGGTTATTTAGTTTTAATCTATTTGTTTTAGGAGTTGCCACCAAGCAAAACTGAATCAGCAAATAAATTTTGGTCCCTTGTTGAACCTTATCTGAGTCGTGTAAAGAAAGAAGATCTTAAAGTAAGAGTATATATTTTTTTTGTGTTATAATCGTTTGATCTTAATGTAATATTATTTACAGTGGTTAAATGATCTAGTTAAATCGTATTGCACCAGTAAAAATTTGTATGAAATACCACCTTTGGGTGAACATTATGCAAAGAATTGGGCTAAAGAAGAGCTAGAAATGCAAAAAAACCAATCATCATGTTCACCACGTCCGCCCAAAAAACTTAAATTTGCTGAACGTATTGCACCCGATGTTGTAGAACTAGTGGATAAAGCTAATTCTGCTATGTAAGTTGAATCTTGATGTTAAATTTTTGGGGTATATGAATAATATTATAGTTAACATTTTTATAAGAAAATTAATTCATTATAAATACTATTGGTTGTGCATAAAGATATAGTATCCCAATTCCAAACTGCAACTGGTCACCTTATAATATGGGAAACTAGTATATAGAAATAAATTATATATTAATAACGTCCATCGATAGTCCTAAATTTTTAGTTTACTAACTTTAAATCAATTTTGGATGTTTTTATGAATCATGAATCAGAATGCAAATTCAGGTATTGTTGGAATTAGAATCGTATGTTTGAGTGAAAAATAAACATTTTTTCATGATCACAATATTATATCTGATATGTGTGTGCAAGAGTCCTCTGTACAGCTACAATTGACCCGCATGAGCGCCACACACACACACTAATAATCATTTACGACTAACACATAGATCTTGGATGGCGATAACAAGATTAGAAATTGCCTAAATGATTCTCCTTAAATCAATGCCATAGCGAGGACCCTTTATTACAAAATTATAAATGTACAAGATGAGCAAGTTAGCTGTATTCTTCTTCTACAATAACATAAATTAATTTGTTAAATAACACAAAATTCATAGAAATAAAACTTTTTTCTTCTTTTATAAATAAATTATTATTTTAAAAATCATTTTTCATGAACATTCTCTTTAACACATGTACCCATAAATTAATATTTGTTTTTATTCAAATATTATAGAAACGATGGTAGTGTATACACACCAGTTTATCAGAGGGTTGTAACAGCTCTTATGGATCATTCAAACATGTCTTTAGAGGATGCCGAAGAACATTTTTCAGAATTTGATGGTGAATTATTTACTTTAATGCTCACTCATAACAAATAATTCATAATAACTTTTTGATCTTATTTTAAGACGTTGAAGAAAAACCACAAGAAATGAGTAATGTTTGTAAGGAATTTTATGCAGAACAAAATGTCAAGAAACAATTGCATAAATTGGGGCTCGTGGATCATAATTCTAAACAGGTACCATCACCAGAAGATATGCTACCTTCTTTGAATATAGCTGATGAGGTATTTATAATCAAAATGTTTTTTTTTTAAATTTATATTTTATATTAAGGATAAACTCATTACTTTAGGAAAATGACGAAGTTCTAGAAGAATTAGTCAAGTGTGATAATGCATTAGCTCAATTAAGAGAAATGAACAAGAATCACTTGACACATTTATTAGGAAGATGCCGTAAAGATTATTATCAACAAATTATAAAAAATAAAATCGAAAAAGTAAACAACGAGGTATGTTAAATGTATGTACCAAATATTTGGATGTTAATTAATAAGTAGATGTTTGTTTTTAGATTTTACATTTTAAAACACAGCAAAATGAATCATGGACAAAGGAAAAGAAAATCGCTCAAATGGCTGAAGAAGACGATGAGCTGCATTTTTTATTAAACCAACGTGGCACTTTACTTGGGCAGTTGCAATCAGTGGCAACTGAATCCTTATACTTAAGCCCATTAGTTTCAGATGATTCTGAATCTAGTTATGAAGACTGTGAACCATCTAATGTACATATTAAAACTGAACCAATTGAAAATGATACTGACGTAAAAATGGATGATCAAATAAATGATGAAGAAGGTTGTCAGGCTGAAGAGCATGTTGAAATTAATATTAAACATGAAATTGTTGATGACATAATGGAATTTGAAGAAGCTAATGACATTGCAAAGAATAATGATGGAGAATATGATGAAAATTTAGGCAATGCAGAAGTTTTTACTGAAGAAATAGAAATAGAAAAAACTGTAAACAAAGAAAATGAAACAGAAAAAGGCGATGAAGCCAAAATTGACCAAGAGGACCAAGAGGTTCAAACAGAGGTTCAAACAGAGGTTCAAACAGACGTTAACATCAATCCACTTGTTAAGATTAAAGAAGAAGAGGTTAATTGTTCAGAGAAAGTGTCTATTGAACGACGGCGTAAGAAGCCTAAAAAAAGAATCACAGAAAGTGAACAGACATCTAAAATTGAAGCAAGAAAACCGATTAAAATTAAACAGGAACCGGTTGATTCTGATCTTGAATTAGATCCTTCAGAGGATATAATTGATGGTGTTAAAAGAGAACTTCGCCCTCGAAAGTTAAATGAGCCGCATATTTATTTTGAGCCATATGATGGATCAACAAGTGAAGGGAGTGATTTTACTGATCTGTCAGATTGATATTAATGCCAAGCTTGGAACAAGTTATACACTAACAACTTACGCATAGGAATGCTCTCACTATTAAGTATTTATAATTTAAAAATTCAAGTCTGATTAATTTTTTCATCTTTATAATTTGTACCAGATTTATTATGTTGTATCAGAGTATAAGATAAGTTATTTAACTTAGTAATAATAATTAATAAGAGATAGAAATACCATGTTTTATTTTCAATTGTATCCCCATACAAGATAGGCACATAGATTGTTATGTATAGCATCTAGATCCACATTGTCTGTCAAGTACATTATCCATTAATCATAATCCATAATTATATTAGTTTCTCGAGGTTTTTAAAATCAGCCAAGTACTCTAAGGATAAGTTGTATTGTATTAATCATTAACAAAAATATTTGTGTTTAAGTTTAGTTTATTCGTATGTAGTTATTTACTAATGAGTAATGACACTTAAACACTTAATATTAAATCAAACATGTATTAATATACTCTTTTTACATTTATATACATAATTGCATTTTAATTTTAATTTTGTTTTTATTTGTATACTTTATTCTTAGTTAGCACTATGCAAGTTCATTTTTTTAATACAACATTATATACATTTTTTCTTGCTATAAATCAAGTTTCAAAAATCTATACAAATAAAACATTATAAAGCAATGACTAGTAAGTTATAATATTATACTATAAGTAGTCAACTATTCTTACTCTGGTCATGTTTAGAAACGTACTCTGAGGCAATCAGACGGGAGCACACGAGTTGCGTCCCGTAAAAAAGGTATGTACAAATTGCGTCCCAAAAAATTCAGGACATGATTCATGTATTTTAATCAGGGGTTTTTAAACAACTAACAAAAATAAATAAATAATAATAATAATAATAATAATGTTAATAATCAAAATGTCAATCAAAAAATTGTTTATCAAATACGTTAAATCACTTAGATCTAGTCAAAATCAATATACCTACTCCTTAGTATAATAAATAAATAATAATAATAATGTTAATAATCAAAATATCAATCAAAAAATTGTTTATCAAATACGTTAAATCACTTAGATCTAGTCAAAATCAATTTAGTCCATAATAATATAATATAATAGATAAATAATGTTAATAATCAAAATGTCAATCAAAAAGTCAGTCTTAAATTAGGATTATACTTATTGGACAAGCTTTTTACAAAATCTATCCTTGTTGTTTTATTTTCATTTAGTTTTTTTATCTGATTTTCAACAAATAAACTGTTGTTTCGGCGTTGTTTTCTATATTCATGTATAGAAATTAGTGAACGTCTAAAGTTCTAACTAACATTACACTATATAGTTTGATGAATATAATAATTAATTACATAATATTTGCACCAAATATTTGTTTAGGCACCCAAAAGCATAAAATTATATTTCTATTAGTAGGTAGTAATATATTATGCAGTCTCAGGAACCCACCATATTAAGTACCTTCAACGTAATCTGAGGAATAAAAACCCCAAAAACCGTAAAAAATGTACACATTTTTACATACCAATATTATATTATTTTTTTTTTTATTATTATTTTAACTAAATTTAACAAATTTAATTAAAATCAAGATCTTTTAATTTTTTAATGAAAATATTATATACATTTTTTTTTTGTTTACCTATAAATCAAGTTTAAAAAGGCTATACAAAATGTAATGAGTTTTTTCTGAAACCGATGACTTATATATTATAGTAACTAGTAAGCAAACAGTATTTAACTAATATTGTTCCTTATATCAATAGCTGCAGTTTTTAAATTGTTTCTTGTTTCTTTCAAATCCCGTTCCAAGCATGGTCTAATCAGTGTTTTGCATACCAGATTTAACCAAGTGTACTGAGTTCCACTAAAGTTCAAATTTAGTGACCAGACCTTGATTAAAATAGTGGTGCCATTTAGGGGGTGGCAGGGTGTGCACTCGCATCCATTGCAATTTGTATATAATTGGCTTATGTTATTAATCAACAACCTTTCTTGTGCAACCGCCAACCACGTTATATTATAATACTATATATCAGTGTATATTAGCACACCCAAGGGGAGGAGGGTTTCGAGTCTGGAACCCTCCCATTGATTGACAGAATTTAAAATTCTTAAGGTGCAAACCACTGATTTCATACTTTTTACTAGTTAAAAAAATTTGGAACCACCCCTTAGAAAAATTCCTGGGTACGCCACTGTTATAAATACCACACTATTATAATTTAGTTACACAAAAGTAAATTATATTTATTTAAATTTTGAAATATAAAATATTATACATGTTATACATTGGGTTTTATTTTAAATGAAATAATAATAGTATACTTACCTGTCATAATTATTACTATTTGTTATATTGTGTATATTATGTGTCATACTGTCATGTGTGTAGGTAATGTTACCTACATTGCTAAACATAAGTCTTTACTTATGTAATTTTGTTTTTGAATAATACAATAATTAAACTGCATGATTTAAATTTGAATAAAAAATGTATTTAATATAGGTAGGTAAGTAATAGGTATATTACATTAATAAAATTAGTGTGGGAGATAAGCCTCATAACATTTTTGTACCCACTTATACAAAACTTAAATGACCGCGCTAAATTAAAAATGCTTTTTTTAATCATACTGTCACACCTCCTTTGATGAGAATAGTTTTTTCAACTTCACTTGTTTTTTATGGAATTCAAATTTAATATATTTATAACAGTGACTCAATAGTGAGATACACTATTAAAATACCTACTGTAAAGGTGAACTGTTGTACAAACTTATCCACTTTTTTATTATATGGAAAAGGATATTTTTTAAAATAATATACCTGAGTAAAACAAAATAATAATATTATAAAATCTTTTTTATTCCTGTAGGAAATTTACTTTGGGGTATCTACTCTGAGAACACATTTTTGTTGTAGTAATTTTCGGTTTAATTTTTCATTGCCTATTCGAAGTGAAGGTATATAGGAACATAATAAAAAAATTGGGTAAGTGGATGTCGCTCTGCTGTATAGTAGGTTACAAGTGGGTCAATGTATAAAGGATTGTAGTAAACTTTAATTCAATGATATAATATCATTGTATAAGAAAAACGATTCTGAGAGCAGACGGTTTGTCAGTCTGGATATTGTTATTGTTTATTATATCCTGTAAGTTGAATTTACATTATAATAGGTATATTATTTTTTATTCGTTTCTATGGTGCTAAACAAAGCGTTGGAAATTAAAATCCCATTTTTAGCGGTTTTTCGTAATTTGTCGGTGTTTTTTCCTGTGCAATTAAATAAATATTGAGAAAATCGAAAAATGACCTTTCTAAAATACCATCTTGATCCAATTTGCTAAAAGATAAGGTATACGCTATATGTTGAAATCAAAAAGATAAAGATCTTTATTCTTCATGGGACAAACAAACAAACAAACAAACGCTGTCTCTTTATATAATAAAACGTAGGTAGGTAATAGTAAGATAATTTAAGACAATTTTTAACTGTCCAAACTATCCTTATAAGTTATAATATACCAAACATTATACCTATATTGAATATTCTATAATTTATAAATATCTATATATCCCTATAATATATAGTTTAGAAAAAAAAGTAATAACAGGCTGGTTGCAAAACACTTGCATTTTCTTTGTTGTCCTGGAGACATTCACTGTATAAGTATAATATATTATAACAATGTTTAACACTTGTTTTCTGTATTTTGTACCGACTATTTGATATGTGCTTATAAATAATAATAATAATTTACCTACTCAACCATGAAACATTCTCGACAGACGATGCGAAATGGTTTTGACGGGGGAGACGATACGAGAATGAACTTTGTATCCGCGGCCACGGAGTTTGTCGACGACCTTTTAATCAGGTTCGTATGATTTTGGAGCCGAGCGATCGCTCGATGAGACTTACAGTGGATGACGTCAACAGCTTAGTCGAAAGATATAGATCGTCGATAATCGATAAATCATTAGAAATCTCTCCAAGAGGATTGATCGACGAGCTGTTTGACGAGATTGCAGTATACTCGGCTGTAGAACGGATGCATTCGTCCGAGTCTGTGATTTCAGACGACAACCACGACGACGATGATGCAGAAGGCATCCTGCTGCACCTGTCGGCCTCTGCTGCAGTTGCGGCTCAGTTCGATTCCTCTAGAGAACTGGTAGCAGTAAGAACTAGGTATTTTCGAGGAGATCGGGCGTCCCTGCAGCAGGACACGGGAATGGTAGGTATATCGCCTGCGCAGATCAGGACAACGAGTCTGGCGTCTATAGAAGCGTCCTAACTCAATGGAACCGACGCCCATGACATAGCTCCGGATCGGATTACAGGTACCCAAAGAGTCCCAGACTTCGTCAGCGGACAACGACGAGAAAATTTGGGTATCCGACCGGAAGCAGACGTGCATGACTTTGGAATCGCAGCCAAATCAGAGAGGCCGTCCGCGGACGAAGAGGAGACGATGGTCGTCTTGGCTGGTACCGATGAGGCTGCAGGTAGCTGTATAATAGAAGAAGTGGTCTACACTGAGCCGACGCCAAAAAAACGTAGGTCGTTCCTATCGGCCCTTTGGAGGCGAATTTTGAGTGCAGGCAGAAAGTTGTGTTGTTGCGGCGGCGACGGTCGACGTGTACGGCGTCGAGCCACAGAATAGATTATATTTAATTGAATCTATTCTGTGGTCGAGCTACGGACATACCGTTGGAATGAATGTATAGAAGTGATGTAGTGTGAGCAATTACGACACCATGTTTGCCGTCTATACATGGATACTAATATACTATGTGTTACCTGGTTTGCACCCGATTTTATGAGAATGACGATAAAATAACCACTACTTCCGGTCGAATTCTGGTTGTACGTATAAGTTGCGATTTTTGGATATCCGTGCATGGTAGATCCACCGAATATCGGATGACGGAATAGCGTCACACAAGCCTACATTTAACATGTATAATAATCGTTGTCAACCAAAGTTTAAGCACTTATCACGCATCTGCACTTGTAAATAATATTATTACCTACTTATTGTTACAATATTATTATGTTTTTTGTATCACTAATTTTTTCTAATATCGTTATTTAATATAATAATAAAATATAATTGTAAAAAAATGGTTTATTTAGGTATTATTAAAAATTAATCATTTTAGATAACTAATCTTAACTACAATATGTATATATTTGTTAAATATTTACTACACTCAATTTTTTTTTGTTGATTTCATTAATAACAACTTATTATGAACTTTGATTACATTTTCAAACAGTATTAATTGTAGAAAAAAAATGTAAAATGTCAAGCGTCAAACGTCATAAATAGCTCAAAAGAGTCAAAATATTTTGAAATTATGCCAATATAAACATTTTGTGAAAAATTCAAGTAACTACAGTTCTTTGTTTTTGACAAGGCTGGGAATTAACGAGTTACTAAGTTAAAGTTAAGTTAAAAAGTTAAGTTACTTTTAAGGGGGCTGCAGCCCACGTATTTTTCATACGTTTTAGACCAATAAGCGGTGGTAAATTCCACATACTTCGGAATGTCCGATTTAAATTTTTTATTCATGTTTGAATTCATTGATAAAATATCTAGGTTTCTTAGGTAGTCGAATTTTAATTTTCGATTTAAAATGACCTTAAAATAACCATTTTTTTTTTTAGAAATCCCTTGAAATAATTGCATTACATTTGTATTTATTTTGGGCACATCTGATTTTAAATAAAAAAAGTGATTCCTACGAAGCATAGTCTAGAAGTTTCTAAATTCAACCATTTTTTCGAAATTACACTCGAACTTCGGGAAGTATGATCAATTTACTACTGCTTTTAGTAGTTTTATAGTCATGCAGACAAGAATATATTTCATTTTTCGCTATGTATTGACAGTGCTTGAATTGGAAAAAAAAATTGAAGGGGTATGCAAAAGTATAAAACATTTGTGCGTCCCCCCAACATTTAAATGTCTTATCAATTCTTGAAATTAGAAGGGGTACGCTAAAATATTTTAAAAATAGAAGTTGGACTCCGTCCCCCCGCGTCCCCCCCCCCCAATTCAACCACTGTGTATTGACATGTGCGTGCGCGTGTGAGAGTGGCTTCCGGCGCGGTTGACCGACTGCAGCGATTCTCGGAAACGATAACGGATTACTCACACTAATGTTCATTTACTATTCACACATAGATACAGTATTAATTTATATGTCACATGAATTGCCTAAATAGTACTCCTTAAAATATGCTACGGTGCAGCCCCCTTAAACGATTACTGGAAGAAAAATTCTAACATACATTTCAATCGGAAACACTACAAATTGATATATTTCTAAAAATAAACATCAGTATTAAAATAATTCACTAGCTATTCCGTTAGTATCCTAACCATGACTAAGCCTCCCTCCCCCCTAAACACTTCCTACATTTTGTTTTAAGCTTATTCAATATTATTAAAGTAGGGCTTTAGCCCTCCCCCCAAAAATCTCAAACGGAATTTTCACACACTCCTGCCTAATTATACTACTGCTGCAGCAGGACTCCACTGGGGTCTCAGTGACTTAAAATTATAATTTTGTGGTTACAGGCTATACAGCACAGTAGCACACTCGCTACGTAGTCATTGGCCTGGCCCATAACAATAACTTGCTAAAATTTAAAGAAAATACTATACTACATTACTATACCTATTATATGTTTTATCTTTTATACAATACTAATTTTAAATTACTGTCTGTACTCTGAATGGTATTATAGTAGCGCACCTACTAATAAACTGTCCTGCTCTTTCCTCCTTTTGAACAAATTTAAACTACCCATTTTCTTCTCTCCTTTTTAAATTTGTCCATAGGTAGGTGCTAAATATTCCTGTGAAGCTATATGCTTCCTCTAATAATGTCGACCTAATCAAGCCGGTCGGCGAAACAAAAGTAAGCCATGACCTGCAAGCGTACCCTGTATAGATACCAATCGACGGATCAGATGATGTTCAAATCGTCTCACAAGCCACATTTACCACCACAGCCGGCACGAACCGGCGAGGCAGTGCCTAAATATCACGAATTTTGACCCTGCACATCTAATTCCACTCATAAAAATATTTTAAAATTATAGACCTTTTTTTTTTTTCCGAATATAATCACTACATGGGAACCGAACTGTTTTCACATTGCTTAACTCCCATGTAGCATCGTTTATTTAATGAAAAATGTACACAACTTTGTTTGGGCTCGCATGAGTCGTGATTTTAGTACCTCCGATAATTATAAAATTATAGACCTAGTAGTGTGCAAAACCACGATTTAAGATAAACAGATTGCGTATTTAAATTATAACTTATATATTATGAAAGTGATGTATTTGTGATAAAAGAACCAAATCGTTTTGGAGGTGAGCAGCAATAAATTATATTGGTGATAACTGATAAGTCTACATAACTAAATAAATATTGTTTGTTAGAACTTTAGAAGTGTAATATTATACAAATAACGATGAAAAATAAATGATTTTTGCTAATCTACAGCGTAAATAATTGTAGTAGCTAATTAAATTGTTTTTTCTCTACATCAAAATAGCTTATTACGTCATAATTGTAAGCAGAGGTCACTCTAAATACCATTTATTTAATAAAAACATATTTTATACATATAATATCTACTACCTACGACCTACCTATGCCTAGTGCTTAACTTATTCATCTTATATCTCATCTCTAATTATAGTACCTATAATAGGTCGTACTCCGTTAGAGCGACAAATTCTGATTGTACCATTGTGCTTAACTCGTTTAAATAGGTATGCCTATGGGTTTCCAAAAAAAAATGATCAAAAATCGAACTAAATTGCATTATTTCAATATATTTGTGCAATATTGCAATAGCGATTAGTTTTAATTACGAAACAATATTATTTTAGTTACAGCTACCATAGAGGATTTGGGTTTTTATTTGTTGTTTCTATAAAATATATTATACAGTTGTAGTACAATAGTACCTATAAATAATAATATTTATACAATTAAATAAGTAAATAAACATGGTTCGTAAATTTAAAAAAAATAAGTCATTGGTGGGATAAGACACCCAAATCCCCCTCCCCGTAATTACCCCACTATTGCTATATAGTTATACAAGTAAACCTATGTTTAACCATAACTAGTTAGTTAATTATAATATGTCACTGTCACTGAGTTGCTGACAAACCTAGTTGACCCATAATCAGATAATTTAGATTATAGACCATAAAGGTAATTAAAATATATTATAATTATACAGACGTCAGACAAGAGACATTCAGTCATAATATTATAGTAGTATAGTTTCAGAGCAGGAACTTTAGATTAATCATAGCTATCGTTATTTCCTGACTTTGACATATCATTATATTGTAATATTAATTATTAATTTCAAATACATAATATAAAATGTAGGTACCTATATAAAGTTTATGTGCATAATGCATATATTATAGTACATTCGAAATTACTAATTTTAGAAGTGTAGTTTCACATTCACTAACAATTTTTTTAGGTTTTTAAAATCTTTTACATGTAGGTTAATTTTTTTTATTTTTTCATGTAGTGATAAATGCTTTTATTCAGGGGCGTCATTTCAACTTTTTGAAAGGTATGCTAACATCAGGAAAGGCCAAAAAAATTTTCAGCAGGCCAATATATATTATTATATACACTATAATAATTAGAAAAAAAAAATTTTTCTCGCTCCGCTCGAAAGTTTTATTTTTCATCAATTAAATAATTTCATATAATACCGATATTGTACACCCAATACTACACACTTAAAACGTAAATTATTTTATTTTCAATATCATTATTTCATATTTATAAACACTAAGGAAAACAAAACAAATTCTGAAATCTTTAATCACACATAAGTTATTTATCTACTATCTACTACGGCGTATGGTTTTATAGGGGCATATAGCATAAGCCATAAATGATAGATGCCGATACTCGAGACCAATTATATATACAAAAAAAAAAAAGTGGGCAAGTGGATGTCGCTCTGCTGTACAGTAGGTTACAAGTAGGTCACTGTATAATGGATGATATTAAATTTGAATTCAACACTATAATATCATTGTATAAGAAAAACGATTCTGAGCGGAGACGGTACGTCAGTCTAGGTATAACACATATTATATACATATCTATGATATTAAACAAAAAATTGACCTATAATAAATTCCAAATTAATCATATCACAATATCCATTAGGTACTTATAAGCGTTATACATCAACAACAAACCGTGATACTATCATAGATATATAATATTACACTTTAGAAGTTTCAAGTACCCACGAATAATATTATACAATCACAACAAAATAACTAAAATAGTTATTTTTGGTTCTTTAATATGTAATTTTGTCAAAATATGAATTTAAAATGTCTGTAAAAAATAACTGTGCTCATATATTTTTTAGATTTTTTGGCTACAGTATGAACTATTTATGAGAATCTTTTTTTTAAATTTTCAATCCTTAGCTATAAAAACTGAACATTTTATAATTTATTAATTACGATGATTGATAATTTTCGAGATTTTGATAAATTTTGTCAAAATGCGATCTTTAAATGCTTATAAAAAAAAATTGTGCTTATGTATTTTTAATATTTTTCAATTGCTATTGTAACAATATATCAGGAGCCTTGTATTAATTTTTTACACTTTTTGGCAAAACAGATAAAACTTTATTGATATTTATAGTAAAAAAAAACTAAAAAAATTGAAAACTGAAAATGTCCGTAAACGGCTCAAAAAGAGTCAAAATATTTTCAAAATTGTATGGTGTATAGGAAATGCTAATATAAACATTCAGTGAAATTTTCATGTATCTACAGTAATTCGTTTTTGAATTACAACAAAATAAGGAAATCGCTACATGAGAAATCGAGTGATTATCCAATGTTGTAAAAATTTGAATTTCAAACGCTTATAAAAATTTAATTTGACTTTCTTATAGAATTTTTTTTTTTGATAAATGTAGGAAATCACATAAGGAATCTTGTATTACATTTTCATATCTTAGATTTAAAAATAAAATTTTTTATGAATTACTAACTCGAAATAATTTGCAAATTTTCGTGATTTTTCCATATTTTGTCATTTTTTGAACTTTAAATGCTTAAAAAAAAAAAACTGTGACTAACGATTTTTAATATTTTTCATCTGTCTTTGAAACAATATAGTAGGAGCCTTGTATTAAATTTTCAAGTATTTTTACTCAACAAATAAATTTTTATTGATATTCATAAAAAAAAAACTAATAAAATTGGAAACTGAAAATGTCCCTAAACAGTTCAAAATAAATCAAAATATTTTGAAAATGTTATCGTGTATAGAAAATGCAAATATAAACAACCACTGAAAATTTCATGTATCTACGGTCATTTGTTTTAAAGTTACACCAAAAACCAAAATCGATTTTCTCGAAAACAGATTTTGCGTAAAAATTCCCGTTTTTCCTTAATTTTTCTTTTGTTTTTCCCTGTGCTTTTAAAAACTACTGGGAAATTTAAATTTTGACCTCCCAATGTACCAACGATATTCACTTTCCAATCGAACAAGATACTGAAGTTGAAAATCGAAGCATTATTATTTATTTCGACTACTTATCGTGTACACAGACATAAAAAAAATAAAAAAAAACACACATCATTGTAAAATCAATATATTCATCGTTTCACTCAGAATCTAAAAAGGATAATTTTTGCCCGGCGCAGAAAAATTATAGTCGGGCCAAATTGCATCTTGATAATTTTAGGTATGCATAGGCATACCCTGCAATACCCCAAATGACGCCCCTGCTTTTATTAACATTTAGTGATATAAGTTAGGAACTTCATGATACTACCTGAAAACACGAAAAATGACCAAGAACATTTGACCGGTGAAATATGCAGGATTGCACAGTATGGACATTATTATTGTTAGCAAGACTATATATATAGGTACTCTAAAATTATCTGTTGCGTTATTCATGATTAGCCATCACACGGACTAGGCAATAACAGACGGCAACATTGTAAGCCGAATAATACAAACATGCATGGGCTTATATACAGAGTGTTTCACTGATTTGTCCTCGACCCTTGTATAGACCCGCCCACCAGGAGCCAACAATGTGTGTATTATGTGTATAGTGTATACTTCCTTTACTTCTCTACTCGCCTCTCGTCTAAACCTTAAAATGAGCATATAACTGTTTGAATACTTAATGGAAATTGTTAATTCAAATTTTAAAATATTCACATATTTTATAATATTAACTCTATGAATTGCAGATAATAACTAATTACTGAAAAAAGCCACAAAAACAACAATATTAGTTTTTTTTTTTTTTTAATTTGTGAAGTACTATAAAATAAGTTTCCAAATAGATTATTCAAAACGATTACTAAATGAAGAAAACCTGTTTTCGAGGGGGACAAACTTGGTGAAACACTCTGTATATACAATATAGTATAGTTTGTATTATGTGCAGCACTTATCATATCATAATATTTTAGTTTTTAGGTAGGTAAGATATTAGGTACCTCGTATACCTTACACCTATATAGGTAGTCATAACGACGCCACCTATTCGTCGCGTATATGTAATCAAGTCAGTGTGCTGCCTGCAGAGTACGAAACAGGAATAGTGACGCCGGACCGACCTACAACTTAGAAAAATGGGAAATTTCAAATACTTGTTGGCCGCCTTGGTCGCATTTGGGCTGGTCGTTTACCAGAAAACTTCCATCGATATCGTGAAGCCCGAAACAATGCCCATGGACGTTTGTTGGGGATCCGATTCCGGCCGGACGAAAGACCGTAGCAATGCCAAAGAAGTTCGACCATTTGTGATAAACGTCACTTCCGAAGTATGTGATATCGATCGACATTTAAATAGTACATTATAATATTATGTGTAGTGTATGAATTCATATTATGTATTGCACAATATAATAGGTAGGTATTTGGTATGTGGTGCCTATAAGTTTATATTGTTACACTTTTTCCTGCCGTAACGTAATTAGTTGACGGGATTAATGTTATGTATACTGATACATAAATCGTTTAAAAAAAAAAGATGGGCAAGTAGGTATACAATATATAGGTAAATGCTGTTCACAAGTACATTAGGTGTCACGTGGTACATATACATTTTATTGACATAATTTATGGGAGAAAAAATTTCAAATTTCAAATCCTATAAATAGCTCAAAAAGAGTCAAAATATTATCTTGAACATTTGATCACGTATAGAAAACAATAGAATATAGGTAATTATTTGTTAAACATTTAAACTTTAACAAAAGGTTGGACACCCCTGATTTAAAGTATCAGAGCTATATACGGTTGTACCAGTATACCTTATACCGTTATTCGTTTTTGAATTACAACAAAAATCGATTGTGGCGATAGAGAGATAGAAATACGTTTTCTTTCCTTACTTAATAATATTAGTTGATAGGATTAATGGTACACTCATTACTCGTAGACTATGATCGTTTAAAATAAAAAAAGGTGGACAATTGGGTACACAGCTAGGCTGTGCTTCAGATGTCGTGTTGTATGGGAAAAACGATTCTGAGCTAAGACGGTCGGTATGACTGTATGTACTCGCCTATATATACAATATTATACATATTAATAAATAATATTATATTATACTATATTGCACAAAAAATAGTATAATAGTATAGTATAGTATTGTATAATAGTACAGTAGGTTGAATTAATTTCTGCCGAAAACATTGAATTTGAAAATGTTATCATACGTATAAAATATAAAAAAAAACATTAAATAGTTTAAGTACCACGAATAATATTTTTAAATTACAAGAAAATAACTAAAAATGTTATTCTTTGTAAAAATATATAATTTTATAAAAATTCGAAATTAAGAGGTTAAAAACTGTGACTATAGGTATTATATTGTTTATATTTTATGGTTACAGTATGAACATTATATGAACTATTTATGAGAAACGTTGTATTATATTAACTTTTGAATCCTTAGCTATAAAAATTGAACATTTTATTAATTTTTTATTATGTGCAAATTTTCATGATGATGGACGAATTTTATCAAACTTTAATTTTTAAATGTTTAAAATGAAAAAATTGTGACTACAAATCTTCAATATTTTTTTGTTAGTACAGTAACAACTTGTGAAGAACCTTGTATTAAATAAATTTCTATGCTTTACGGCACAGTGTAAACATTTTTATCGATATTAGGTAAGCAATATCAACTAAAACGAATATAAGATGTCAAATGTCTATAAATAGCTTAAATGTGTTGGCATATTTTGAAAATGTTATCGTTTACAGAAAATGCTAATATAAACATTTAGTGAAAATCAGGGCTTCCGAAATGTTTAAGAACATTATTGTAGTTCATGAACCAAAATATAATGGAACGAAACCAAATATTTAATTTAGCTTATTGGTCCTTCATATGAAATAACATTATAAACTATTAAGTTTACTGAACTTTTTCATAAAAAACATTATAAACTTTAAAGTTTTTTAAATAATTGACATAAGGAGCATCACAACCTATAAAGTTCTTTGAACAATTACTAGAAAAACGTTATAACTTATAAAGTTCTTTGAACAATATTACCAAAAAAACGTTATAACATTATATATAACATTTAAATATTTATATTTTTTTGGATCTAAAATACGAGTATTACTTAAAATCAAAGATTATAAAATTGTGTAGGATAGATATTCGTAATTCATAGTTTTTATTATATAAATAATTGGCCATTGCTGTAGTTGCCTACCTGAGTAGTTGGTAATTCTAAAGCAACCAAAGCTCATTCATACATCAATGGATACATTTTTTTTAAGTCTTGTCCAAATATCCATAATGTTTTTGCTTTTATCTTCCCTAGGAAGTTGCATAAAATTTACAATTTCCCTTTGAATGTCCAACGCAACTTGGTCTTAACTACTAACCAAACCACTAATCCGTTGCCACACCGTACGAAGTTCAAGCTCTAAGTCATCTACTTCATTGCATTCAATATTAGTATTTGAAATAGTTGGCCCTTGTCTAATAACATGATCAATATTGTGTATTTCTTAAGACAAGAGGATCAAATGATTTTTAGCTTCTCTTAGTGTATTCTCATCTAATAAAACATTGGCACGATCATCCAGAAAAATAGCCAACTTGAAACTATCACAGTTAAATAAAGTAGTTTCTCGTCTTTGCATAGCTTCAACGATACTATTTGAAATAAATGAATCTAAAAAATATAAAATACAATTAATTTATAAAATAAAAAAACAACTACTTAGATTTTGTACTCGTACAAATAATTGAATTAATAATTAATAATTACTTATTTTTCTCTGAAAATGTCTAGTACCTGAATAGTAACTATATACGGTTATTTGTTTTTGAATCTTCACAAAATACTAAAAAACGATTGAGGAGAAATAGTACTAGACATTTTTACTAGTCACATTTTGGGATATCTTCTTTATGTAATACTACTAGTGTTGTTTGTACCATGGTTGTTTGTTTTTGTTTTCCTAAACTTGGTCAAGATTACCTACATCACTTTACACGACTTACAATCGTCTGTCTATACGCCACACGACATTACCAAGGCTCAACCAGGCAGAGCCTTTTATAATAAAATATGTAACCCACATTCGTTTACGCCAGGTCCTCGCAGACTTGAAGAACAGGCTTTCCAACGCCAAACCGATCGTAAAGCCGTTGCGGAGCGTGAATTTCGAGTACGGCTTCAACGGCGACCATTTGGCGAAGATCATTGACCACTGGTCAAACCGTTACGATTGGACCGCCAGACAGGCGTACCTGAACTCGTTGCCACAGTTCAAGACCAACATTTTCGGTCTAGACCTACATTTCATACACGCGAAACCCCCAGCACAGACCACTGCCCGGACGATCCCACTGCTCTTGCTGCATGGGTGGCCCGGATCCGTCGTCGAGTTTTACAAAATTATTCCGATGCTGACCACCCCGGTTCCCGGTCTCAATTTTGTGTTCGAAGTGGTAGCGCCATCGTTACCGGGTTACGGGTTTTCGGACGCGGCCGCCCGGCCCGGCATGGGTCCAGCGCAGATGGGCCAAATGTTCGTTAAGCTCATGGGGAGGCTCGGCCATGAAAAGTTCTACATTCAGGGCGGCGATTGGGGAGCAGTCATAACTGAAGCGATTTCGAAGTTATTTCCCCACAGGTAAGAGGTTTCCTGTGCATCGCGTATAGACGTGAAAATTGTGTGCACTATCTATAACTTAAAGTTACCAATATTATTCCCCCTATAGGTACATATTTTAGAATTCTGTCTGCCGCCGGAGACTGATTGTCTAATGATCTTCTTGCTTAATGTCACGTAAACATAATTCAAAAATATGTACTGAGCAATACGGGTCATTTTTTTATATTAAACTCTGAAACTATGACCATTAATTGTTCGTATAAGAGGGGGGGGGGTACGATTGGATTGAAACACGTGCAATATACTTGTGGCAAGGATTTTTCACTAAAAATGAGGGTGGTAACCCATCAGAGAACTTGTGATACTCGTCCTTCTTGCATTCAGAACACTTTTCGTGACTGAATGCAACAACCGCTCCACACAATGTGTAATTTAATTAAACATTTCATTCAAAAGTGTACAAACATATTTTATAGGCATTACCGTTATAGTATATATATTATAATATTAACTATAGGTACCCACCTACACTATTTATCTCGACCACCAAGCGTTTTATTGTTTACCCACAACTATATTGCTCACAATTCTATACATTTATATTTCAATTAAATGCACGGTAGGTATTAACACTACTAGTTACCTATATTAATTTAAAAATTCCGGTAATTTTGTTGTTCATTGTTATTTAAGTACCACATTTTATATTTTTTTAAACAATTTAAAGAGGAAACTTCTTAATTTTACATTATTTTATTATCATTTATCATAGTGACACATTATAATTATAATATAAGAAGCATTTTTCTAAATACCAACACTCACCTGTTTCTAGTATTCAAATCGGTAAATTAAAATAACTTTTTCAATGAAAGTAGTGGTTTTGTACTGTACTAAAAAATATTTTTAATTTACCAAACATTAATAGTATTTTTAACAATTATCACAATAGGGCATATTTTAATGTAAGTTCATATTCCGTTGTATTCCATCCCCAGCCCTCCATATAATTTTAACTGCAGAAATGCAGAATATTTTAGAATATTTTTATATTGTTTATTTGCATGCATATTTTGTAGATTTCTAATACAATAATAGTCCCAAACCTTAAGAGGGCGCTACACACGCATGCGTTCTCTCTGTCTTACAAACGCATATTATATAGCAAACTGTACTTGCAGCAGATCACGCCTAGCTCTGTTAATTTAAAATGTAGAGTGAATTGACCTCTTATACAATTTAAAGGTAAGATTATTATCTAATGAACCTCATATAGGTTTTTTTAGATTTTAATTTTAAAAATCACAAACAATTTATAATTTTAAAATAACTTGCTTTATAATTTAAATTAAAAAAAAAAACCTATGAGGTTCACTAGATAATATTCTTACTTCTAAACGTTATAAGATATCAATTCACTATAGTTTTGAAACTAACAGAGCTAAGTGTGATCTGCTGAGTGTACAATTTGAGCTATGTTATGCGTTTGTAAGATAGAGAGAACGCATGCGGGTGTAGCACCCTCTTGTTCCTCTTAATTAATTATACATTTATTTATTTATTTTAATTTAATTTAATTTAATTTTTTATATTATCATATACCTAGATTTTTATATATGTATCTATTATTAATTTTACCTTAGGGTATACGGCATGCATTCGAACATGTGTTCGTCGATTTCGTCTTTGACACTAAACGATTATGTTCGATTGTTGTTGGGAACTTACTGGCCTTCGATAATCGTCAGCAACGAGAACGAAAAATCCCGGACCTATCCGCTGAGCAAGATGTTTTTCGGGTTTCTAGAAGAATCCGGATACATGCATTTGCAAATGACCAAACCTGACACAGCAGGTGCGTTTCTTTGATTTTTCCTTGTTATTGACAATTTTTTTTTTATCAAAAACTAAAAAAAAAGTGGTATGCACATTGCGCAATGCACACTAGCACAATAGCTACATGATTGTAATAAACCATTTGAGTCATGGTTTCATCAACATGATTCTATTTTTATTTTTTTTTTATTTTTTATCTGAGTACGTATAATAATATACTATATTGGTGAACTTTAATCATTTAAAACTTTAAAAACTTAAACTCCGTCCGTATAAGTTTCGTATAGACTACATTAAAAATCAATCGATCCATGTTATCGTACTATATCGATTATTATATTGATTTTTGTATATCGTTAGAAAAATATTACTTTTATTTTCGTCGATTAAGTGCTGTCATGACTCATGATATCATGACGTCAATCATTGATTAGGATTTAGGAATTGTTAAATATTTAATTGGTACCAAAACATTTTAATTTTGAATGTATTTAAGTTTGGTTTTCCAAATAATCTAGCAAATGACGGTATGACATCCTGCAAATGGACGTGTTTACGAAAACTACATATTTAGCTAATTTAATAACCTATATATATGTATATAAATAAGTAAATAACCTTAGACCCTATTTACAATAATAAATAGTTAATTAAAATGAATTTAATCAATGAGGTTTCTTCAATAATTATAAAATCAATATTTAAAGTGAGTAAATAATATTCAAACTATCGAAGTCATTTTGAGTACTAATAAAGCGAGTGGGTTAACTATCTAAATTCTAAAGCATGAGAGGCAATTTAAGTGTGTCCATTTTATAAAATGTAATCTGCAAATTAAAAGGTATGACAGCTAAACAGTTCAATACACTTTTGATATTTCACTGTTGCTTACATAAATAGTTTTATCATTGTTTTGTAGCACCCACTTCCCACATGCCAATTGATTGTCGTTGAATATTCGAATTTACCGGATGGCATGGGTTATATTTTATCTTTTAAAAAATAAATTGTTTTATGTACCTGCCTATTATTGTTTATTTCACAATACATAGGTAATATTTATGATAAAACTATTTAAAAACGTTCATAGATAGTGTGGTCATGCGAATTCGTTTGCCTATTTAAATATATTAATATGTTTAAGCTAGGTATATTAAAAATTAAATTTCTCCTTAAAATTCGACTAACACCCCGCTTATATATATGCATACAGGAGTCGCTCTGAACGATTCTCCGGTCGGCTTGGCAGCTTACATCTTGGAAAAGTTTTCCACCTGGACATCCAAGGATTACAAAAATCTACCGGATGGTGGCCTGTCCAAGTTCAACACGGACGAACTGTTGGACAACGTCATGGTATACTGGATCACTGGTTCGATGACCACGTCGATGCGCCTGTACTCGGAGTACGCCAGTAACAAATATCGAGCTCTTCCTCACTTAATGTACGTATATACATGTGTACAGTGTACAATATGGGTGTTGTAAATATTATTAACAAGATTTCCAAAATTTTCGTTTCGTATTATATATACATACAGGGCCAAAGTTAAGGTTCCGGCAGCCTGTGCTGTTTTCCCGAACGAGATGCCTATAGCGTTGGCATTGAAGACACTTTTGATACGTAAATTCGAAAAACTTATCAGAGTTACAGAGATGGAGGCCGGCGGACATTTCGCCGCGTTCGAACAACCCAGGCTGTTGGCCGATGACATCTGGATGACGGTTTACGAGATGGAAAGCATAAGAATCAATTCAGTTTAACATTATTTATTTATGTTTTGTACACCGGGATAATCTCACATTTTTTTAGGAACATTTTTTTAAATTCTGTCCAAGGTATTTTTTTGTAATTTTCGGTCGCCGATAACCGGAAGGAGCGATTCTAATTTCGTCGGTTTTTTAACCATATTTTCCGGTGATATGCGTCTGTTTCCTGTAAGAATAAAACAGTTTTTTTTTGTATGTCTTTAATATAGTATGTATGAATAATATTTATTCGATAAAAATACATATTATTATGTTAAGTAATTAAGAGGGCATATTCGTTATCTCTGTTTTATTCACGCATCTTGCATAATATACTATATATTTATTTAAATACAAGTATATGGACGATTTAATCTAACAAAAAATATTTTAAAATTTAAAATTCTATCAAATGGATTCGATTAGAGAGCACACCCATGCATGCATTTACTATATTATGTTATTATTTATTATTATTATAGTCTTAATACATTTATAAGGTACTTTAATTTTAAAAATCACAATACTGTTTTAGAGATAATGGACGTATAAGTATGAAAGTATGAATGTATGATAAATACAATGTATGATCATAAAACTTTATAGCAGGTACGATTCCACAGTGGATGGATCCATTAAAGTTACGTTACCTTTTTAAGTTATTTTTTATAAGTAACCTAACTTTAACGAGTTTTAAAAGAAGACTAACTTCTTGCCTAGCGTTCTCTTTATCCTAATAATATGCCACTTTTTTCTAATAATACAAATATAGGTAGCCAGGTATACCTTTCCATTTATGAAACGGTCTACCAGACTCTCCGTGGGATTGTATCAGCAACTCGGTAGCTCGTTTTGGTTTAAAGTAATTGCCGGCAAAATCGTCTTCAGCCGATTTCTGATATTTCTGAAACATTGGACATAATACGTACATTATAATAATATATAATACGTCATATAAACGCGTTTTAAACGTAGCCAGTGACCCGCACAGGCAACGCGCATATACAACAAACAGCTTTTGTGCCTACACAATATCGCTATAATATGAATGAATACATTTTCAAAAACGAAAAACAGACAAAACGTGATTGTGGATAATATATTTTTTGTCGAAATGTGGCTGAACTACCGTGATAATTCGTGCGTGGACGTTTCACCTGATCGTAGACGGGCACTTCTGGTGACGACGACCGCCGACTGCTGTCCGAACTGGAAGACTTGTCGAACGACAGACCGGCCAGCGTGTTGAATATGCCCAGCGACATCTTCCTCCGGCCGTTTTCGAACGTGCTAAACGCCGCCGAACCGTTGGCGGGCTGTGTTAACGTGCCTATTATATTGCATATATTATAGGATATTATATGCAAGAAAGACGCGTGCTGTGAAGCCACAATTAAATAGCATAATATTAATATATCATGTTGTATAAGCACTGCCGAAAACGTAAGTATAATATATAGGTAAACGAAACAGATAATATGCAGCAGTGTCATAATATAAGTCACATTGCAGAGACGCGCTCTTTAAATATTATAGGTATATATCTAATGCACCGCGTGTTCTGCAAGGCCTGCAATAATATAAGCGAAAACAATATTGTTCAGGAGTCGGTGGTTTGGTCGATAGAGAGGAAGACGGTATTTAAAATTGCGCACAAATCGCACACGCTGCAGCAACTGTGCGTATAAAAGGCGGGCGAAAACCGCACGATTATCGTACAACTGTAAAACACATAATTATTGTTTAACCTGTAGCGGATGGAACGTATATATCGCCAACAGATTTTCAGAGTTTTCTAATCTAGCCGGAGCGGTCACCGAGTTAACGGACTGCCTGCGGCCCGAAGATGACGCACCTACCCCATCCGAATGCCGAAATAATCGCTGGTTAAAAAATGAAAAATTTCTAAAAAAATCCCACTCCCGCGTTTACCCGAAGCCGGAGGCAGTTTTATCCTCGTCAGGTCCGGCAGTTTCCAACTCTGCGTGTCATCCTCCCATTCAGCGTCTTCTTTCAACCTCTCCAAGTTGCTGAAAGAAAATAATATCACAGTTTATTATATCTATAAATGGTGTTGTATAATAATACGTATGTTCGTTTGCAACCGAGCATTGTATATACCTACCTGTAATTGCATTCTTTCGACAGCGTTGGCACGATTTTTTCTAAGATTTGACTCTGCAATTTGATCTGTCGCTCCTGTTTCCTTATTGTTTCCAGGTAATCCGTTCGCTCGTTTTCAAATTCACTCTGGATGTCCGCCACCTCTCGGTCCGACGCTTTCAGCTGAAAAACAAAAATGTAAACCATAACGCAACTTCAGTTTTTTATTATCTATTGTCGTATCTATTGACTACGCCGAGCTTTAAATTTATTATAAATTATGATATATAAGTATAAATAAATATTTAACATAATTAAAATTATTAACTAGGTAGGTATAACAGTGTTGATAATTAGTTCGTTATATACTTATGTAACGTCAAAGGTGGGCAAGTTAATGAAAATAATTAACTCAATTTAAATTAAGTTAAGAGGACACAAGATCGATTAGTTAAAAGTTCATATAGAAATAAATATTAACTTAACTCAGTTTAAAAAAAGTTAATCTATTTTAGATTCTGAGTGAAACGATGAATGTATTGATTTTAGTGATTTTACAATGATGTATGTTTTTTTTTTATTTTATTTTTTTATTTTTGTGTCTGTCATCACGTTTTAGGACAGTGAAAGTGCTTGGATTTTCTTCAACAGTATCTTTTCTGATAGGAAAGTGAATCTAGTTGGTACTTTGGGGGGGTCAAAAGTAAAAATTTCCCAGTAGTTTTCACAAGCACCGGGAAAAACAACATAAAAATTAAGGAAAAACGGTAATTTTTACGCAAAATCGGTTTTCCGAAAAATCGATTTTGATTTTTGGTGTAACTCTAAAAGAAATAAACGTATATACATGAAATTTTCACTGGTTGTTTATATTTGCATTTTGTATACACGATAACATTTTCAAAATATTTTGATTTATTTTGAACTGTTTAGGGACATTTTCATTTTCCATCTTTTTTTAGTTTTTTTCTAAAAATATCAATAAGATTTTATTTGTCGGTTGCGAAAAGTTGAAAATTTAATAGAAGGCTCCTAGTATATTGTTTCAAAGGCAGATGAAAAATATTAAAAATCCTTAGTCACAATTTTTTTTTATAATCATTTAAAGTTCAAAAATTGACAAAATATAGAAAAATCACGACATTAGCAAATTATTTTGAGTTAAGAATTCGTAAAAATTTTTCTTTTTAAATCTAAGATTTTAAAATGGAATACAAGATTCCTTATAAGATTATCTACCTTTATCAAAAAAAAAAAATGTCTATAAGAAAGTCAAATTAAATTTTTATGAGCGTCTGAAATTCAAATTTTTACAACATTGGATATTCACTCGATTTCTCATGTATACGGTGCTGTGTTTTCCGCAGAAATACGTCAACTCTCCAGTGAGTTATCTGTTTCATCACTCTCAAGATAAATAATAGTATGTCAACCAATACTCCATAGTCGTCGGTACAAGGTAGGTTTGGATATCTTTTGTACTTAAAACTAAAATGTCTAAGCGTTCAAGTTCTTCTTAATGGAAGCATTTTAAAAACGGAAGTTTATATCGCCACCAAGGACACTTCTAATGCAATACGAAAATCTCAAAAGTTCTAAAATGTGGTCTTCAATTATATTTAAAAACATCTAAAAATCAGATATTATCGTCATCTTAATTCGCAAATCACTTAACTCCATATTGACTAGTTTTCAGGAGAAAGGAAAAACATTTCATCGGAAAATTTCCTATCTCATCTCTCAATTCGCAAATATCCTATCTTCATAATTTTTACCATGCTAATATGGAGTTATGATTTTTTCTAATTGTTAAAATCATCACATCGGAGATACGACCATTTCTAATAATCAATGTCATATGGAGGATAAAATGTTACAATTTATCAGTTACAACTTTATCATACAATGCAGTTTTTTTCTTAATTTTAATCACAATTAATTCCAAAATCACATTTTTGGAGTTAGGACAATATTGCGAATTATGCTGATGATATGTATATTAATTTTAATAAATATTATTATATACAAAAAATTGGGGTGTACAATTATACGCCATCGAGTCCAACATTAGAACTCGGATCACCTATATAGTATTACAGTATAATATACCGACTCTATGTGTGGGGTGTGCGAATAACACGCCTGGAGAGTCTTCTAAATACTACTCACGATGTTTAACAGTACCTATTAATGTTTACCTACCACTGAAGCTCAAACTTACGACGCGATGTTTGCCGCAGAGACGTCTACATGGTTGCACACTTGCACGTTTATTTCAGTGTGTAGGTATTCGGTTATTTCCATATCACGATGCAGAACAAATAACATTATATCCACAGGCATATAACACCGAGCTGTTTGCGAATAGGTAAATACTATAATATAATTCGTAACTAGTCGAAACGGAGAGGCGTGGACTTATAATATATCGCTCATATAATATTATGCGCACCCGTACATGGCTCGATTTTGGGGTGGTTAAACGGAAGGTGAAGTAAATCATTTGTCAACCACTATAGTATAGATAATTTTTAATTTTTTTACTATCATGAAAATCGATGACATCCATGACAATACAATATCCACCTGCGTGACCATATAGGGTTATTACATATATTTATGCAAAGCGAATGAGGTAGATATAATAGATAGGTATTAATACATAGTACATACTTTATAATAATACGTTTAATATGAGTAACATAATAATATTAATTTAATTAATACAGAACAAAACAAGTGGCGAAGAGCCGATGATGGTACAGGCGTACAGTGCATGAAATACGTGAGGCAAACCTACACTAACTTGGTACAAATGACAATGGAGGACATGATAAACGGTTTCAGAATAGTACCAGCGAACATAAAAGTGAGATAACGGTGGGAGAAGAGGGGATGTTTAAAAACCTTTTAATTTCTATAATATACATATTACTGGTCTATCTTGTCAACAGAACCACAACAACAAAGGAACCGCCTGACAAATTTCTTTGTCTGGCGCCAAAATGAACGACGAGGACGTGTGTGTCTCGGACTTTCCGGTTTCCGTACATCGCTGGTGACCTGCTGGAACTTTAGATTTGGCGTTGATCGCCACCCAATATCTTCAGCTGTCTCGCCAGCTAATTTTGGATGTATGCGGATGTTTGGCTCAGATACACAGAGCCTTCCGTCCAGAAAACCTTTGGAATCAAAATTTTTCGACGATTCCGGTTTCCGTACATCGCTGGTGACCTGCTGAAACTTTAGATTTGGCGTTGATCGCCACCCAATATCTGCAGCTGTCTCGCCAGCTAATTTTGGATGTATGCGGATGTTTGGCTCAGATACACAGAGCCTGCCGTCCAGAAAACCCTCGGAATCACAATTTGTCGACGGTTCCGGTCTTCGTATATCATTGGTACGGTTAAACTTGAGATATGGAGTTGATCGCCACCCAATATCTGCAGCTGTCTCGCCAGCTAATTTTGGATGTATGGGAATGTTCGGCTCAGATACACAGAATCTGCCGTCCAGAAAACCCTCGAAATCACAATTTTTCGACGGTTCCGGTCTTCGTATATCATTGGTACGGTTAAACTTGAGATTTGGCGTTGATCGCCATCCAATATCTGTCGATTTGGCAGAGGAATTTTCACACATCGCAGCCATGTTAGGCATAGATACACATCTATATGACATATTTATTTGAAAATATTATATAGGCACAATTAACGGAGGAGATTATACAGAAATACGTATAGGAATGAAATTTATCCGTAATGAACACAAGAAATGAATATTGACAAGTGGTAACTATGTGACACAGATATGAATTGTAGATTTTTGAAACATTCACGTACATGGCAACGATATTTTAGTTGTTTGTGTTGTTTTCTTAGAGCCAATATTAATAATGTTAATGAAGTTGAGAATTTCATAATGCTTTACCAAGAATTTTCGAAAACTAATTGGATTCGTGTTGGTCAGCTTGACAATCCATCAAGGTAAGTAAAAATAGTTCTCATTATTTGATTAATATTAATGTATAAGACATTTTTTTTTTTCAGGGTCATGTTTCATAAATATTGGGTATGCCAGCACAGTAAGGTGACTTCATTAACATTATTAATATTGCCTCTAAGAATCGAGGTCTTTTCATTTATATTAGAAACTTCATTTGATAGAACCGCAATGATATTATTATTTTTTAAGAACTTAATGAATTCATCTATTATGAATACAGTATAATTATATTATATTATATTATATTATTATTATTATTATTATTATTTTTTATAACCTCATTTTTTATTTTTTTGGGACTTACGGCGTTTTTGCTTATGACGGCAGTATACTGTTATCAGTTTGATAAATATAACCGCTGTGGAAAAAGCTGTAGGTAAAAACGAGTATTACTAGAGGAAACGGGAACGACCACGACGTGGCGCAAGACACGGAAAAGAGCCTAAGCCGGTGCCGATGCACGAAACGGTTCAACAAACGAGAGGACAAAAAAATGTCTGCCGGGCGAACGCCAAAAAAAGGCGAGCCTAAAAGGAGGATTTGTTTAAAGTGTCCGGCGAACAAAACGGCGTCTAGCTGGACACAAAAGAGCTGTGAACTCAGGACAAAAGCTCACCTTGGCGTATTACACAGGCGTAATAAATGCGAGAGGGGAGGGAGCCAAGACTGCAGCGACGTTTAAAAGCCACTGTGGAAAGTCAATGATCTGCAGTAGCTGACAGAGGTTACTTCTGCCCTGCGGTCAGAATTCTAGCCCTGGATTAAAAGAAATCTTTATGTAAAAAGATGATACCTACCTATAAATTATAAAATATATGGCTATATTTCCGTAATCTTGTGTACCTACATTTAGTATTTATATTAATAGACGTTATTATTGTTACGTAATTTATTTGGTTTTATTTGATATTATTGAATTTTTAAGCTTTTGATCAATGACCAAAAAAATTTAACAACAAGTTACATCGAAAAAATCAAAAACCCTGCGATTTTACGAGAAAAACGATGTGTAATAAAGCTCTCCGTGGATTTGAATTTCTCCAATTTGCTTAGTAATTTTATATTTTTCTTTAGAATGTTCTATATTAGAGTATAGTTTTGCCATTTACAATCCTTGTCAATCTTGCTGTGAGTGGCGCTTATTCAGATTGTATTGTTATCAGTATTATGTTTATTCTATTATAATATTAGCTAACTTACTAGATAACAAAATATATATTATGATGTATATTATACATATATGTTATTGCAAAGAGCCCACTATAGGGCATGATATATTATCAATAGAAATAAAGTATTTGTAACGTGTTCAATACGAGTACCTATACTAGATAATATATAATATGTTATATAATATGACAATTTATTGGATATTAAATATTAATTTTAATGTAAGACACTAATTATTTCATAAGCTTTGAACGTTTTTTTACACCATTTTAAGTCACTAAAAACAACAATTTCTTAAAAATTAAAATATTTATAAGTGTTAGGAACCAGGTACTAGGTAATAAATTACTTGTCCAAAATTGGATTTTTATAGATCAAATACTCATAATAATTCAAATAATATTAATAATAGATATTTCTTTTGTTTTTCACGGTGCTTTTGAAAACTACTGGGAAATTTTTACTTTTGACCCCTCAAAGTACCAACCAGTAGGCACGCTTGACTACTCTGCGAACTTTCCCCCCTCAATATTCATTATTATTATCATGATAATTGATAGTCAATCATAAAATACTTTTTTACTATCGTAAATGTAGTTAAACGAGGTTACCCCATCCAAATTAATTTAACTTAGATGTGAATATAAATATATATACGTAATATGTGTGTGTGTTAATGTGTTATGTACTTATGTATGACTACCCTGCCAGAAATTCTGCGAAATCCTTATAAAATACATCCAAACGTTCGTAATTATCCATCTAATTGAATTTTGGTACTTCGGGGAGTCAAAAGTATAATTTTTTTAGTAGTTTTCAAAAGTGCCGTGAAAAACAAAAGAAAAATTAAAATAGAACGGGAATTTTTACACACAATCTGTTTTCGAAAAAAATAATTTTGGTTTTGGTGCAACCCTTAAATAAATGACCGTAGATACATAAAATTTTGACTGAATGTTTATATTAGCATTTTCTGTACACGATAAAATTTTCAAAATATTATGATTTGATTTGAACTGTTAAGGAACATTTTCATTTCCCATATTTTTTTAGTTTTTTTTCTAAAAATATCAATAAAATTGTATAGACAAGATTCCTTATAAGATTATCTACCTATATCAAAAAAAAATGTCTATAAGAAAGTCAAATTAAATTTTTATGAGCTTTCGAAATTCGTAATATTTAAGTATAAACGAACAATTTCAAAATGTTTTAATTTAATGGATTTTTTTAAATCAACTGAGAAAAGCTAAGTTATTTCAATTGTAAATTAAACTATTTAAGTTCATAAGTTGATTAGAAAATAAACTAACTAGTTAAGTTAAAAAGTTTAAAAAAAATTAACTTTTTAACTGAACTTTAACTTTTCAACTAGTTAATGCCCACCTTTGTGTAACGTATACAATATCTTATAAATCATGATATTTTAAATATTTTAAATTTTATAGTTATTATTTTCATAGAAAAATCAGTAAAGTATAAATACTGTCTATAAATTATAGATGGCTTTTAACATGTTTATAAATTTAAGGCTCGACATGGAAATTATGTCGTATAGATACTTTATAGACAGCAGTTGGCAGAGTCGGTTTATTATACTTTCTTTTAAAGTTTCAAAACAGTACGCTATATGTTTCGTTGGAATTGATAAATCCCCAATAATATGCAATCTAGTCCCGCAGTCCGACCGGCCATACCATAACCTATATTATACTGTCGTGTATGTATTCCATAATAATATATTAAATAATATACTTTTTGCCTATACTTCTTCAACGCCTCGTTCTTAGCCCTCAGCTCTTCCTGTATGTCGTCGTACACGCCCAACACCAAGTTCGGTCCGTCTTCGGTCTCGACGGTGGCCAGCGCCCTCGCCAAAGCGTTCAACCGTCTCTCAGCTGCTTTTTTTTTGCGCGATCGACGTTCCTGGAGCTCTCTGTCGTTGACTCGCTCTCCGCCGACCATACTCTCTTGAAGTTTCTTCAACCTAAATACAATATAAACACGGTACCCCGAATTAAATTGTAATACTTTATAATTGGTGTATAATGGCGAGCGTCAGTGTGTGATGATAAAATATAGGCATAACAGGTGAGTATAGGTACCTTTTCAGTATTTCCTGTTGCGACGAGTTCAGTTCCACTCGATTGCTCTTCAACGCTTTTTCGACGATCTGTTGCGGGGATGACGTCCTGCAATTGCTGTCTTTCTGAAAATATGCAAAAACAAAGTTTTTATACTAATATGGCATATACACGTCATGTTGTACCACTCATCGTGCAGCGAACTTTGATATACCAAACCTCACGTACACGTTTTATATATAATTCCAGAATGAGATACTCACGAAACTTATGTAGCTAAATTGCGTATCTAAAACGCCGTGTAATTATAATTTATTAAAATTCATTCAAAATAAAATATAAATTCCACTTGAAGCGATGTTTGTCGTTTTCTTGCTGAGTTAAATTTAATTAAATAAGTTTATAAAATTTTACCATCATAAATTTTGAATTTTGAATTTGAATTTTGTTTTTGTCTAATTTAAGTTTAAAATATTAAATAATACATAGATATTATAATTTTATGATTTTTATATTGTTGCACAATATCGAATTTAATTGTACTATGATTTTTAATTAGATTTTGAACATAATTTTTATTTTTTTTCGATTTAAAATATAAATTTTACATTTTTACGGTTTTAATTTTGATTTCTAACTACTAGAAAACGGTTATCGTCCACGAGGCTAGATAAGAAAAGAAATATTAGTTATTTATTACTACATACCTATATATGAAAAACATCCTAACCTATCGACTGTTGTTAAATTTTAAATTTAAACTATTTTTTTTAACATTTTAAATCTATTTGTATATTATAAAAATTTAAAACTATTTTTATTTTGGTATAAATTATTGATTTCATTTTTTTTCGTTTTAAAAATTATGAATTTAGAATAGCATTAAAAGAAATATTTGATTTCGATGTCACTTTTTATTTCTTAGATGATTTTTAACGATTTTTATTAATATTTAAAATCAATTTTGAGATCGATTTCAAGCCGTGGTCTACATTATATCGACACCCTAGTTCAAAACTGCAACAACTCAAAATATTGGTTTATTGGATATAATGTGTTTTCTATATTGTTTCTCCAAGTAACGTAATGTAAATTATAATATTGAAAATGCTCTCTCGTATAGTCAATAATTTAACTATATTTTATTGCCTTCTTGAACTAAAATATATAAGATCTCGTCAGTCTATAAGATGGTATACAAAACTACGATTTGTTGCAGTTTTAAACTGGGGCGTTGCATTATTTAAATAATAGTCTACAGTGTAGATTTTACACATACGCGTACGTTTGAGTTTGTGATCCACAGACACAATTCACTAATATAAAAACACGTGTCAACGGTCGCACTCTTTATGTTAAAATAAAACTAAACTATTAAAAAATAAAAAATATATTTATATACGCAGCGTATACGATACGTACTTGATTCGAGATCTTTGCCAAGTTGTTGTCGTACTTCTCTTTCAACGTTTTCAAATCTGCTTGCATCTGACACTTGGAATTATATTCTTCTTGGTATTTTTCCCTTAGCTTGCCCATTTCCTCTTGATACTCTTGCCGCAATTTTTCCTTTTCAGAAATATCGTTCGTGGGCAACTGAGCAGTGGACGCTTCCAGCAGTTCTTTGAGTTTTTTTATCTGTTCTTGATACTGGCGCAGCATCGTGTCTTTGGGATCTTCGTTCACGTGTGGTTCGTTGTATATGTTCTTGGCCCGATTGGCGTACCTCAGTGTCGACAAGGTCTCGTCGTAGTTATTGTCGGCGGGCGACAGGCAAGCGACCATCAGCGTTTTCGTATTTCCACCTAGAGAATCCTATATACAACGACGAACAATTTTATAAAAGAAAACAATGACAGAAGAAGTGCTGAGGGAAATGTACATGTTCCTTGTTGATTAACCCTTACCTGTAGCAGTCGGGTGAGTTTTGAATCCCTGTACGGTATGTGTTTCGCTTTTCCGTCCACCAGGGCTGATATCACGTTGCCCAAGGCCGACAAAGAGAGATTGATTTTCGTGGCTTCCCTGAGCCGGTCACCCGAAGCTCCGGTTTTCGCCTGACGTTCGCTGCCCGCCAAGTCAACCAGACTAAGTTTCCCTCGTTTTATCGACTTTATGTCGTCCACGTCCTGCGAAGTTGACATCATTTCCACGGATATGGTGAAAATAGAATGGCTCCTGGAAGAGTCTGCGTTCATCATTGTGGCTCCAGTTGCTCTATTCCTCCAACCCTGTTCCATGAGCTTTTGACACTCGGTCACATCTTGCACGGCGTGATGTGATAATTCTACAATAATAGACATACACAAGTAATAAGTAAGTAATAGTGAATATATAATCATTAAAATTAATATATATATATTATATATATATAACAACGCTTGTGTACCGTGTACGTATACTCCCCTCTCCGGGTTTTCCTTCAACTCAAGTCTCCGTTTGGTGTCTGTGCTCAACAGGTCTCTCACTTCCTCGTTGTATATCTCAATGTACGAGGCGAGCACCAAAAACTTTACGTCATCCGTCACGGATATTGCCTCGAAGACGTGTTCAAAGGCTCTGGGTATGATACCGCGTTGGTTCGGCGGTGAGTCTACACCCTGCATCGAGAAACTCTTACCACATCCAGTTTGCCCGTACGCGAACACTGTACAGTTGTAACCCTCTAAGATGCCCTATATAAAGATCATATCGTGACGCACACACGTAATAAAATATTAGTTAATTGGTACATAATCTGATAAACGATGTTCACTGTTTTTTTTCTTTTATCGAGTTACGATTACTTCTCCATCCTCCAGTGGCGTAACTGGGTAAAAAAAAACTATAAGGGAAAAATAATTTACTAATCAAAATCAAAACCCTTAACCATCCCTCTCCCCACAGTTCAAATATATTTGTATTCTATGTGCCTATTATACCTAATTGTTAGTTTTTGTATACAAGTCTTAAGACTCATATTACGGTTTATAGAATAAAATTGTAGGTATTGATAAATAATATTAAAAAGTAGGTACATAAAAGAGTTCATTAATAAACAGACAGACATGACGAATCTATAAAGGTTCCGTTTTTTGCTACTGAACCTTAAAAAGGTAGGCATGTCTGGGAGGGAGGGGGGAAATGATAAAAAAAAATGTCTGGGGACAATTGCCCCCCTTGACCCCACCCCTCAGCAGTTACGTCACTGTCACCATAATAACGCAAAAATAATTGCGGAAAGCCACAGGACATCGTGCCATTCACCATATACCACATCGTATAATATTTATATATATTACTTACTTCCACAAAAGGATAAGCGATGTCGTTGTATATCTGCTCTGTGTTTGAATCGGGCCCGTAAACGCCGTCGAAAGTAAACGTTTTCGGCGGCGCCGAACCGTCTGTGGGATTGACGATCGAACAAGTGCATTTCTCCGAGTCAATAAACACTACGTTCTGAAACGTTTTACGGACATTGATTAGAAAAGCTTACTGGATATAGGTTTAATTACACAATTACTGTATTCGGATAATGGATACCTAATAATATATTAGATTATAATATAGTGACAGGTTTTGTCCGATCCGATATTATATCAATAAAAATCAGTAAAATAAATGAAAATTTACGATTGCACTGATGTTCGAGCAATTGTATTGAAACTCAAGGTTTGCACAGTACACGGAACCATAGGCGAACGCAGGAAAAAATTTCGGGGGGGGGGGGGTTGAAAAAATTTAAAGTAGGTATTCATAAATACATTTGTAGGTCAGATAATTTATTTTTTGTACATGCTATTACGGAGGGGGGGGGTTGGTTAAACCCCCAAAACCCCCCCTGCGTCCGCCCCTGCACGGAACATAACAATAATCATACTGTTGTGCTTGAAAACGCCTCTGTGTATGTACTAGATACGTAAAGTTGAGGGCACAATACAGGATGTTGCATTACGATGTTGGTCGATTTTTTTTCTTGTTCAACACAAAAACCGATAGTTATATTACCTACCTATTGTTATAATATTATAATATTATCTTTATAGTGTACTATTATAATAGCGTCACGGTAAACAAACAATAAATTGTATTTATGAGAAGTGTATTGTGTATATCTATAGTTTCTAAAAATCGGAAGGATTTACATACTAATATACTATATATTATAATATAGTGGTGTTTAGAAAACTATGTATCTACCGATACCTAGGAATTAGGATATACTTACATAATATTACGATTCCTCACGAACCACGCAATTAGCCGGTCAACGGTCTATTTCTGTCTGTACACAGGGAAATATAATATAATAATAAACAGTGGGTCACCCACCCTCCACCGTACATCACTTTGGTTTTCCAGCATTGAAAAACGAAATTTCGGCACACATATAATCACTGCATATTATAATGTAATGCACAACGACTATGGGGTTAAGAGAGAGTTGGGTGGGTGTTAGTGTTAGATGTGCGAATTGCGTGCCCGTCGTGTTTGCTATTCGTATACTATTAGGGCGGCATGCTAGGCTATTACTAGGTTTATAGGTCACAGTGGTGCGTGGGGATCGTTTTTATAATAATGCGGTCGAGAATGGTCGCCGACGAAATCTCATTACAGCTTTAATAGCCTATAATATATTATATTTTGTATATATATTTATTGTAAAATTATATAGGTCAGGTATGAATATAACTAGACCACGGTCTCACCTTACTGTTTAACGCCCGTTCCCTCGTGTTCATCGGCCGACACCTCGCAATGACTTTTACGTTTTCCGAAGTCATCGCTGCGCATTGACTGCAATACCAAGTATATGCACATGTATATGCAACAAAAATTGACAATATTGTACGTTATAAATTTATAATAATAGTATATTATTAATTTCCCCAGTCCTCTCAAATCAAAAAGTGAGGACGATAATTTTACATTACATTTGCTATTCTGTTATTTTAAAGGTTTGCAAAATTAACGCTTTTCGTCTGTAGAGAAAATCAAAATAATATATATTCTATAAGCATTTCAAAATGGGAGAAGTTGGAAAAATGGTAAACATTTCAAAACCCCCGACTATGTCAACTCAATCGTATTTGTAAGATAAGTATCGTGTGTTGAGAATTAGTAAAAACGAACTTTTCATTCGTAACGAAACCAAAAGATGTTATAAAATCTTAAAAATGGTAGGAGGGGGTTGAAATTTTGAAATATGGAAAACCGATTTTTTTTTTTGAAAGTCACTTATAAATGTTTGTAAAAATAAAACTATCGAAAACATATAAAAGAGTAAGTTTATTTAAACTATGATTATTATTAGTACACAAATTACAAAAATAATAGTTACATAATAGTATACACTATATGCATCATACCTATATAATACATTTATACTACCTAACAGCTAACTAATACCTTCCTAAATCGTATACTAAATTTCGACAGCCGAAATCGTAAATTATATATTTAAAAGTATGTATCTAATATTATTATAATATTAAGGTAACAATTATTAAAAAAATATAGTAAATATGTATTATAATATTAAATTATACAATATACATTTACTACAATATACGTTTATACTACCTATAACTACCTTCCTATAGGCATTGATTTTATAATATATTATAGGTATTATAAAATCTATGCAATAGGTCAGTGGTTCCCAAAGTTGCGCCCTGGTGAGCTGAGGTGTCTTAACAGGGGCGCCACGCTACCGTAGAATTTTATATGATCCAAAAATAAATTTGAAAACCCAACGATAGCAGCGATGGAAATGATTAAGATTAATACATATTTATTTATTATAGTACCTATAATTTAAATGAAATGAATAAGTCACGATAGTCACGAGTCAAAAAAGTTTGGGAACTCCTGCAATAGGCTGTATTATGTTTAGATTTTCGACAGCCGAAATCGTAAATTTGTATAACAAATAATAATGACGGAACTTTGGGTTTATCGATTTATTATTTTCAATAAATTTAAATATTTGAAGTAGATATAGGTGGGTACCTGAAAAAAATCAAACCACAATATTATTTGTATGTTCTGGTTATTGTAACACTGCGTAGTGGGTATAATGTATAATATACTGTGAATATAATATGATAAACAAATTAATCAAACTGTATATTTTATTTATTTTTATGCAATGCAGTATCGTATGACGGGTCACGCAGCCCAAGTCTTCTGGGCCTGGACATTGGCCTCTCTGACCCTGAGTTTCTTATGACTTTGAATAGGTTTAGGCGGTTTAGCGAATTCGAATCCTTTGAAATATTAAACATCGATTCGAAACGTATTCGAATTCGTTTGAAAAACATGCACGCCAACGTTATCTCGTCGCCTGGTTGCCTATCATTATAATTTATATTTTATTTAAAATTATAATTGGCGCTATATGATTCGTGTCCGATTCACATGCGATTTTTTTCTACGTGTGTCCGATAACATATTATAGTATACAAATCGTTATAAACTATAATATATTATGTCTCCAATGTCCATAAAGTGCATTTCGTGACACAATTCCACAGTGAAATTGTTTTTCGCATTGCGTTATCATAACGAAATAATCAAGTTTTATATCGTCCCCGTTCATGCAAAACACATTAAGTCCAAAAACATGATTTTTGAGTATGAGCTTTTGCAATTTTTCCAATCTTTAATTCCATATCATATGTAACCAAATTTTTTTTTTGCTTGTTTTAATTGATTTCCTCTTAAGTAAAGTAGTCATTTATAAATGGCTGTAAACAATATTACTCTGTGAATTTTATTATTCTTATTATAGTTAAAATACTATTTACTAAGTTGGACTTAGTGACTTTTGCATAGTTTACATGGACTTAGTGTGTATTGCAGGTATCTAATTGTTGACTTGCAGAATCTAAATAATATAATATAAAAACTCATTTTAATACAATTTATACTCTAAAGTCTAATTTTAATTTTCAGTCATCCATGCCGACCACAATTTATATTGATGATCTAGTATAGTGTATAACTGTATACACATTATAATATATATTATGTATTCTGCCGATAAAAACAAAAGATTACCGGTGTAATATCATAACGATTTTTTCATTGGAAACGTGAAAAATATACACGAATTGCGCCACAAAATAAAACGTACAATTATTAATTCATATCAGCTGTCGTATTGCTACAACAGTATAATTCGTAAATATAATTTCGAGTAAACAACATTTTTGTGGAAACACTACAAGTTTATTAGACAGTGAATAATAAAAAAAAAACGGTTTTACGACGAAAATTTAAAACTCGATTAGACTAAATTGTCTAAATAAGTCAGAGTAAGAAAGACTCTCGACACAGAGTTTTACCGATTCCGGCCGGTGATACAAATAGGGGCTGCTCTTCAACAAATATTTGACTTTAAATTTTTTTTTTTTTTTCGTTATTCTTGTGATACAAATATGTATACAATTATAATTTATATTTCTAGGTAATTAATTAACCTTAAAAAATTTCAATGGTAAGATAATACTGACTATTGATTTATGTAAGTAATTTTCATGATAAGCTTACTTGGTCACATTCATAAAAAATAAATACATAAAACAAAAAACATATCGTTGTAAAACCAGCTATAGTCGGGAGAACGAAATGTGGCCGCTGGTGATATGTAAGCAATCTTTTTTTCCTTCGGAAAGCAGAGGTGCTATACAACATCATTCTATAATACATATTTTGTATTAGGTGATTATATCTAAATCTAATATTTCAAAATGCACGCTCTGTAAAACCATCACAGAAATTCACTACCAGAAGTGTGCTCATCAGCGGCCACTTTTCATTATCCCGACTATAGTAGGTTCACCGTACACTATTCGCATCGTTATCAGAATGTGCAGAAATGTTTAATGATATGTTGCAGATGGGGTGTAGGGGTGGCCCACGAGTTATTTTAAGTCAACAGTTTTGTTTGCCCCCCTCCCCCAGAATTTTACCCCCTGGTTAAACGCTCTATGGATGGCGTTCGCGAAATTTGAGGGCGTGACACGCGAGGTACAAGAAACCAAAATTACTATAGACACAAAACGGCTCGACGTACGGCGTTTTCGGTTCAAGGTTTTTTTTTTTCACTGCGTGGAAATGATAACACCAGTCAAAAGAATGATAATATTATTATACTTATGTGCGACGCTTAAATAATTACTATGCGAACTTGGAACGAGCGTCTGCACACCGCACCCGCCGTCTGCGATGTGGGTGTACGAGCGGTATACCTACACACTATATATTACGGTGCGACCGCCGTCCATGTAATATTATAATAACAATATAAGTGGGTACGCGTTATTCGATTCGCGGAAATAATCAATAAAATATCGTATTATCATCATATTATTATTGGTGGGTATGTATATAAGTCGGCTCGCGTTGTTATTCACCTGTCAAACGCAATCACCACCGACACGTACGATCGACGTCTATACACGAATGTCGGCACTATTATAATAGGGTCCCAACCCCGCGGCTAACCTCGTACTTAAAAATATTCATGTGCCATCGCTTTTCCATACAAATAGCACAACACATTTACCCACACACACACACATTCAACACATATGCCAAAAAACGTTTTTACATATTAGTATAGGTACTTATATTTTAAAAAGGGTTATTATAATTATTTATATAGGAGTATACGTTTTTTCTATTATTGAAATAATAAATAACACATAGGTACTATATAGAAATATAGAAAAATATAGAAATTGAAAAAACCTGATAAATTAAACCAATTAAGTAGGTACCTACTACGAGCACAAACTTTGAACGAATATCATTATTTTAGTGTAACAATATAATATATGACATGTCACATGTAATTAAATACTAGTACATAATACTACTACAAGCAATTAACAACTTCAGTTCACAAAGAAATGTTCGTTCAAACTTGATTTCTTTAACGTGCATTATGACACAGTGGCGTATTGGTGACAAAATGACAAATCCTGACGCAAATATGGTAAAAAATAGCATATAAAATACATGGTAATTCACCAAGTATGCTCACCCCCATTTTTACTTTAATAATCAAATTATTCTGAATTTTCGAATTCTGAAATATACACAGACCTTTTTTCAAATTCTTGATTTTTTTTTTTGTACTTATTAAGGAATGTCCTGTGGTGGTATAAACTTCTGGTTTTCAAACGAGAACCTGACCCCCCCCCCCTCACAACCTTATTAGTTATTTCTTCTTTAAACTATTTAGTGGATTTTTTTGCTGAAAATGCTTATGTACCTATCCAATTCAAAATTCGAACGAGTAGTTTCTCAGTTATTAGAATGTTTATTCTAAGGATAAAAGGTAGTCCATAAGAGTGGATTTACAAAAATATAAAACAGATGTAGTATTGTAGCTAGTATTTATTATACGTGGGTCGTGGGTCATGGACCATTTTAACAAATTATTAACGTTTAAAAATAAATATTAATAAAGAGTATTTTTAAAGCACCATAGCCCCTATATCTTCCAAACCTATAATCAAGGACCTATTATCCTTAATACACTAGTTAAATGACCAAAAATACTTCTTTGAATTTTGATTTTGATACAACATTTTCAGAAAAAGAGTGTTCTCAATTGAAAAACTGCAGAAGTTTGCATCACCACAGGACACTCCTAAAGTACTACAAAAAATTAAAAAAAATGGACTTAAAGTTTATTTAAAAATTCCAAAAATCAGAATTTGAATAACTTTATTATTGAAGGAAAAAACGAGTGTGAACATACTTGGTGAAT